CCTGCACTCTCAAACAAAAAAATCTCCACACCACGAGCCAGCCAAACACCTGGGCACAAACAGACCCCCCCGATACCTCCAGCTCAAACACACCCCAACCAGGCACCCAGATGAAACCTAGCTTCCTAATAAATGATAGCTGTCCATTTACTCGGAGCCAAGCCGCCCTAAAAGCCTCCAATACAGGAAACACAATTTTGCCAGCCAATCAAGACAAAAAAAAGCTACAAAACAGACAGAAGATATTAGAAACACCAATCAAGCAGAACACAGCAAACTCCAAGGCCAATAAACACAGACCAAGACTCCCAACCAATCAGGATTAAGAAAAAAACATTCTGGCACAACGTAGGCTAGCCCCAAATTTAAAACAGAAACGGCTGTGAAAGTCTGACTCACAGACGAACACAATACAGAAGCCTGTTGATGGCAGATGAGATTCTGCCGAAACGTTGCTACAACTTTAAAAGCACAACTATAATGACATGGAAAAATACCTGAACAAAGCTGAATACATATATAATCTGAATATATATAATCTCCATATTTTGATGTTCTTCAAATATTAAGTGGCTGAATTAATACCATCAAGTCATTTTGTGCTAGTCTGCTGTAATGTAATAGTATTTAAGCACTAATCATACTGGCACTGATTGAACAGGCCTTACCTTAAACGAGTCTGAAGAATAGCACTGAAATATAATAGAGATCAGATTACTTGATTAAAACAAGTATCCCTCACTTGGCTTATTCAGAAAATTCTTCAAGAACTAAAAACTGAGGAAAGCAATTCAATTGCCCTTCTTGTTCTCTTGTTAGGATGCCACAAAACCCATGAGAATATCCAAACTAATGTTTAGGACAGTGGCCTTTTATCAGTTTTATATTAAGCAATCTGTCTTGAAAAATCTATATTGATTCTAATTTTAAATCAGAATGATAATATAACACTATCACTATCCATCCATCCATCCATCTAATCACAGTAGTCTTGCTATATTCATACATGAATAACATCTAATGATAGAATACTATATTAGTAATTACAATATATATATTGTATTTAAATCTGAATTACTCATGTTTAAACTATTATAAATATCTCTTTATATTCCTCAGAGATCTTATTTAAACAGTCAGCCTAAGTATCACCATCTTTCTCTTCCTCCTCAATGTTTTGTTACATCAAGTGTTTCCATCTGCATGGCAAAAAACCCCTTAAATCAAACCCAATACCAGCCAGATTCCCTTATCCTTTCCTACTTATTCAGAATTACATTAGCAGATTAAAACTAAAAAGGAAATCAGATACAAGTGTGACAAACATACCATTATAAATGAAAATTAACTATAAATTTATCTGAAGAAAGTTCTCATAGAAGAGTTCTTAATGACAAAACATTAGAATCCATGTAATTTTTCAGTATCATAACTTACATAGAAACTAAACACAGGAATTGATTCTTGGGGAAGAAGAATACACAAAAACAAAAATGCAATGAGCCAAGAAATATGGCTCAAATCCAAATTAAATCTTCTTCTGCATTGACAAATTTAGATCAATGAAACTTACTACTTACCATCATAATGGATTTATAATATACAGTACTCTGGATCCTAGCCCAAAGATAATTACCCAGCTAATTAAAAAATAAGTAATTGATGAAGCAATCAAGTCATATGTGGTCTGAAATTGATTAAGATATTTGGCTTATTTTTCCTTCATAAAAACATATTAAGATACTACTCAATTGATACTACAAAGAGTATCAGGCCTTCATGGAAAATGAAACAAAATATTTCAAAATAATAAGGTATTTGAGCTTCAAGCTGCACATAAATTAAATGAATAGACATCTACAGCAGTATTTTGGTTAAAGAAATATAACCTTTTTAAAAGTATCCTTACAAATTTTTCTTCTGAATTTTAGTCTTTTCTTGAAAAGTATATATACTATTTTACAAAAACATTTTTATTGTTAATGGAGGAACCCATTTCTCTCCAAACCTAGAGATCCCCCCTTCTATTTTGCCTATTCTGAATCTAAGCAAATAAACAAGAAGATCTACTCTTAGTCTCTTGCTATCATTCACATGTGGTTTAATCTTTTTCTGGCAATGTTATTGTTTTGCCATGGTGGCACATTCTAATGATAGGCACACAGGCAGAGTAAAAGGACAGAACTGTTTATTTGCCAAATTTGATTTCTGATGCCCTTTTGTATTTCCCCAAAACCAATCTGATCACTTGAGTTGCTTATTCTCTTCTTGTAAACTGAGCATCTCTGGTTGATGCTCAGAGCCCATGACTGCCTCAGATTACACACACACACAAATTGGCATTGGCCCAGAATAGCTCAACAGCCTTGTTCTCTAGTCTTGTACTTGAACAGAATAAAAACAGGAAGAGTCTGTGATTTGTGTCAGATGCACAGGGTAGCAGCAGTATGATAATGAAGCCAGAGAAAGAGTGATTGAGTTTTCATGTATGAGTTGCAACTGTTATTTAAATTTAAAAGAAAGAAATAATTTGTAAATTGGCAGTGAAAGCAAAATAATTTTAGGCTGAGAACAGGCCTAGGGTTAATGTTTGTGTGTACGGTGCTGGTATGTCTCTATTACTGTGATTGTTCTTAGTTAGGGCTCTGGTTTTGTTTGTTTGTAACTTTTTACTAAGTATCAGGTTTTGTAAACTGCCCAAAATTTACTGACATGTGTGTGTGTGTGTGTGTGTGTGTGTGTGTGTGTGTGTGCGCGCGTGCGCGTGCAATTAACTTAATGAAATAAGGAAAATAAATGAAATGCCAGCAGATGAAGGATGGATCTCAGATGTCCATGTAAACACACAACTACTAATTTCTCTTCTCTTGTCCCCAATTCCCTTCTTTGTAAGAATTTTCACATTCAAATATATATTTGCCAATGTTAACAAATATGCAGCTTCACATTTAAATGAATATAATGGGGAAAAAGAGCCAATAAGTATTTCTAGTCGTGTATATATGCCTAGTTAGTTGTGTTGTGATTGTTGCTGGCCACTATTAATTTCTGAGTGATTCATTAGGATTTTCCTCAATTAAAGGATCCAAACTTTTGGTCAAGTGCTCCACACTTAGCTGTGGATATAACAGGCATCTCCGTCCTTGCTAAAACCTGTGAGGTAAAAGACAAAGGTTCTGCATGCCTTAAGGGTCTGGAGCAGAGAAATGCATATTGGGGGGAGGATAATGGGAGTTAGAGAATTCCTCTCCCCAATACACACATGTGCATACATGCACACACAACACACAATATTATACCAGAACATCCATAGTAATTAAGATGTTAAATACTTCTAAAATTTTGCAAGTGAACAATGAGTAAAAAGCTTGATGTAGTTGGCTCCAGTTATGATGAGCCCATCCTCCATTCCATCACTGTAAATCTCATGGTTCTGTAAAAATCATCTGATTGTTAATAAAGTCTATACTTTAATGGATGTAATGGCAGTTACTATTTGAGTGGAGTTCAGGTCTAATGAAGTATATGTAGGATTGCATCCTAAAATGTACATCATCTGAGGCAAAGATGAAGAAACTTATTTTCAGTTTAGATAATTTCTTTCTTTCTGTGTACCTCTGTACATATAAGCAATGAAATCAAAAGATCGGGAAATCTAGAGAACACAGCCTGTGTCACAGCTTACAAGAAATCTATGCCATAATAAAGTTGTTACAGTTCAAAACACTTTCATTTTTTTCTTAATAGATTGGTGTGAATTACTCATCTGAGATGTTTTTATCAATAAGTAAAAAAAGAACCTGAAGAAAGATTTGTGTCCATAACATTTATATCAGTTTTTTAAAAGCATATTTATACAGTTAAAGCTTTACATTACCTTTCTGGACATGGATTATGTCTGGGAAGTTGGCCAGATGTCCCTGATACAGAGCTAATAAATCCATCACTGGGTCCAGGTCTTGTCTGGGTTGGTCGGCAAATAGTTCACCAATAGCATCATAAGCTTCCCCAGTGAAGGCAATGGCCTGATTGAGGCCAACTGAAAAAGCCTGCTGGTCCATTTCAAAGGCTTGGCTGAGGCCCCTGAAGGAGTGTCCTACTTTCTGGTATTCCTTCTTGAACCCAGCAACCTGCTTGCGGGCAAACTCATTGACAGTCTGGTTCAACTGAATGGTGCTCTCATCCATCTTTTTGGTGAAGCTTTTGAAGCCATCTACTTTACTTTCTACCTCCTGCAAGTCCAGAGCAGCAGGGCCACCAGCAGGGACGCTAATGGTCAGGAAGAAGTTAGCACCCACCATCTCGTCCTTCTCAGCTCTGCGCTTGCCTTGCTTCCAGGCCTTCTCATCAGTGCTGGGACAGGTGAGGAAATGCTGGAAGGCATCACACTGGGCCAACACAGGATGGCTGCACATATGGTCCATCCACCAAGCTAAGCCTTTGCGGCGCTTGGAGATAAAGTCCTCTTCAAAACGCCCCGTGGCTTGTTTTTCTGGCAAGTGGGGTACAGAGATGACCGGGAACTTCTCCACAAGACGGCCATAGAGCCAATCAAAGTGCTTGTAGCGCCGGTTCACCTGCTGTCCTGTGTGGCTTGGCACCAGCTTGTAGGCAATGTAGCTCTTCATGCCTTTGAATTTGGTCTGCTTGGTGGGGTCTTCGATGGAGCACTGGAAAGGGTAAGGGTTTTCCTGCCACTCGGGCCCATAGGAGCCCAGCACTACGCAGAGTTTGTCCCCGTCCTTCACGAAACCCGACGCTTCACCCAGCACAAAAGCTTCGCCTCCGGATTTCACGAAGGTGGAGAAGCGGTTCAAGTTGCGGCTGACGGTGGCCGAGCTCTTGGCGCCGCCGGCCGGGTGATGCAAGGGGCCGCCGGGCTGGCTGCTCCGGGAGCCCAGCGACAGATCGGACCGGGTGGAAAGGGAATACCTGCTGGCAGAGCCTCCGGCTCCGCCGACTCCCATCGCCGCATTCTCGTAGTCCGGGTAGGAGCAGCTCAGGACGCCTGGCTCGTCCGCCACGGTAGAGCTGTCGTCCCAGTCATCGTCCCAGTCGTCGTCGCTGCCTTGGCTGGCTTGGTAGGAAGAGCCGCCGTAGGAGCGCGCCGTCGGGAAGGAAGAGAAGCCCGACGAGGCGGCCGGCGGAGGCAGTTGGAAGGGCTCAGCGGCCGGCGGAGGCAGCTGGTGATGCTGGGCGGTGGTGGCGACGGGCGGGGGGTTGAAGGCGGTCGCCGGCGCCGCCAGAGGCTCAAATCCACCGGACGGCACGTTCGCGTAGCGGGCCGGGCCGGGCGCGGGGGGCGGGAGCGCCGGCTCGGCCACCGGAGCTCGGATGACCTGCACGTAGGAGGCCGGGAAGAGGCCGCGGTCGCCGCGGCTGTTCACCCCCTCGAACCAGCCCTCGATCTCCTGGTCGCTGCACAGGCTCAGCACCTCGTGTTCCCGCAGCGAGATCTCGCCCGGGTTCTCCGACTTGAAGTCGTACAGCGCGCGGGCCCGCAGCAAAGCCATGGCCCCGCCGCCGCCGCCGCCGCTCTGGTCGCCGCCCAGGCAGGGATGGAAGCCGAAGGGCCGCCTCACAGCGCCGCCAAACGGGCGCAGCTCGCGCCCCCCGCCGGCCGGCCGGCCTCGTTGCCCGCCCCTCTGGCGGGCCAACGGCCGGTCCGCCTCTCTCTCTCTCCCGGGGCGCCTTCTCCGCCTCAACCCGAGCCCCGCTCCCTCTCCGCTGCTCCTCCGGGAAGGGCGGGAAAGGCAGCCCTCTCCTTCGGCGGTCGCGCTCCCCAACCGAGCGCCGGAGTGCCGCTTCGAGGCGCCCAGGGAAGGGGCCGGGCCGGGCCGGGGGACTGTCCCACGTCGCCAGTTTCACTAATCCAGAGCCGAGAGAAAGGGCCGGGAAGCCGAGCCCAGAGCTGCCGCCCCCATCGATGGGGCCGGAGCGGCGGCCCGATGCTTTGGGTTGGCTTCGCGGTGCGCCGCCTGCCCTCTGGCGTTCGGCGTGGAAGGGACGCCGCCTCGGAACGAGGGAGAAGCCCGCAGCCGCTGAAAGGGGTTCAGGGGCTGGAAAATAGGGTCTGACTCCGGGGACCGGTAAACTGAGGTCGAGTCAGGACCCTTCGACGGGAAACCCTCAATAGCGATTCAACTCCAGTCAGGCACTGTACAGTTTTCTTGCTAATCTCTTGTATAAACCCGGGATATTTTGTGTTCAGTTTAGAGCCCTGGTTTTACCTGATGGTCTCCCATCCAAATATTAATTAGGAGCCTCTGACTCTGCTTTATGTTTTCAAATGTCGAGGAGTTAAATATCGGAGCACTATTGTTGGCATCAAGAGCATATCTCCCTGTTTGTTTTCTTGGCAACATAAGGCTGTTTTCTTTGCATTTTGTAATGATTTTCCCACATTAAGGATCCCTCTTAAAAGGCCAAACCCTGGTTATCTTTTTAAGATCATCCAAGTCTGGGTAGTTGCTGTTTATATAGAGACAGATTATACATAAAGACTAAACAAAAATTAATAATCCTGGTAGTGATGGTAGGGAAATCAGATGGTAGGAAAATCAGAGGAAAAATGAAATTGGACATAAAGAAATTAAACACACAATATACTTAAACATATAATGATTTAAATTAAAATTTATGATTGAAACTAAAAAAATTAAAAGTTGACTTAAATTGAATGTGTTTTTTAATATTAATTCCACTATTTGCCTTTTGCCTAATATAAAGTACAAATGGAAATACTGGTGATCAACTTTAAATATATTTTATATTTAAAATTGTGTAGATTAGAATTGAATTAGTTTCTTCCCTGTACTTAGACAGAAATGAATATGAGACATTCACATTTAATTCTACTGCTGAAAGTTGCTCTTTTAGGATTGGCCTAATGTAACACACAAGTACTCATAATCAGTTACTTAGGTTCTGGTAATCTGATCCTAGTTTCAGATAAGATATGATAACAGATTAACATCATCACATTTTTTTGGCCCTTGTATTGAGGTTGGTGAAGGACCTGAAACCTGGCTGGGCAAATTTCTGAGAGAGCAACCTTCCTCCAACTGGGTTTTAGTGACATACGTCAAAACAGATGGACATGGTCTTATTATAGACAGACAGACTTTAACCATAGTTAATAGAGTGCTGGCACCCAGTGTTCTGGATTGGGTCAGAAAAATGAGTCAAAACCAATTGGAATCTTCTCTTCCCCTTAGCCTACTTCCTTGACTCAATAAAACCAGGATATTGCAGCCACGTTCCCCTCCAATCCAATGTACTCCTGAACCCAACCCAACCTAATGTGGGCAATGGAGACCCATGTCTTCTCTGCCCCAAGCTTCTGCCTCTACTCAGCAAAGTAGGGGCCACTCACGCCCACTCAGAGTGAAAGAATGTCCATCTCCTTCAAATCAGAATCCACCAGAACCAAACTATTTAAAATACCATGCAAGATCTATACCTAGGAAGATATAATATTAATAGATATTCTCACTATCCATGGACACTGCGGGCCCTCCTTATTCAACATTCTCACTACTGGCCAGGCCATCCTAAATTATATAAAAATAGTATTCCAAAATATTGTTTAATGATTTTCTTCAGCACCATAATTTAAGAGCATTGATTTTTCTCCAGCCTTTATGGGGCTTCATCTTCCATAGATGTGTATTACAACTAGAATTATGGCCTTTACAAAACATACCTTTGTTGTCAACATAATATCTCTACATATTAAGATTTTGCTTGGCTTTGTCATAGTATTGTCTAAAAAGCAGATATTTCTTTGTTTCACAGTTTTACTCACATGTCTGGCTTTTTGAGACCAGGAAAATAAAGATCTATTATTACTTCCATTATTTTTTCATATATTTGTATCAGGTTGATACAACTGACATAATGTTAGCTTCTTTTAAATATTAAATATCAGACCAATCATGAGGTTCTTTAATGTTCCTTACTTCATTATGGTCTCATAAACCAATCAGATTAATATTTTTCCAGGATTTTTAATTTTGATTTCTGTTTATTTTAGTCCAGCATTTCTCAAGATATGTTCTGCATGTAGACTAAACAGAAAGGGTGACCATGTATTACTTTGGCATTCTTCCTACTTTTGAACCAATGAGTTATTCCATATGCTATTCTGACTGTTGCTTCCTAATTATTATGGATTCCTTAGGATGCAGATGAGGTGCCCACAATTTGATTTATTTCTCTCTCATCAATATCATTAGTATGTTCAATAATGCAAAAACAAATTTAATTCAGGAACTTACATTTTCCCATTACCCACCAGATGTTTTTTGCCTCTGCTGCTTTCTGAAATCAGCTTGAACTTGTGCTAGGATCTCATTGCATTTATTCTGGAAGTCTGTGTTGGAAAACTTTAACCATGTTCTGACTAACATATGAGAGATAAGCTTAACCATTCAGTACTTTGAGCAAAGTTTAGTACTGTCTTTTTTTCTATTTTCCAGTTATTTGGCCACTGATGTATTTTCTATAGCTGCTTACAAACTGTGAGCAACATGTCATCATGTAGTATGGTTTTCAACAGGTCTGCTGGCATGCCATCAATGCCTGCAGCATTATTATTAGCAAAATTTTATGTCTCTTTAAATTTCATTTTCCAAGATGCCATGTTCCTGCTTGCTGATTCTATCTGTACATGTGGAAATGATGTGAGGCTCATTTTTGTATAGTTCTCCCAGCCATGCTATCTCATCTTTACATCTCCTTTGTCCACTGGATCTTGGCCTTTGATTAGCTTCAAGCATCCCCTGCCCCAATATCACACAATAACAAATATATCCTTAATTTGAGTATGGATTATATACTCCTTCCTATCAACATGTATTACATATCTTTCATTTCTAAGAGTCACTAAATTAAGTAAATAAAGATTTTTACACACGTTTCAAAGACTTCACTACATAATTTGAAAAAAGAAATAAATGTTAAAGGAAAACTTGTTTTGGCTCAAGTACTGCTTTGAGAAATGCAAACGATATTGTTTCTAATTTATTCTAGCAATAATATACTTTTATGATTTGCTGCATTGAATTAATACCTTTTAACCTCTTATTTGAATGACTTATGACCTGATAGTTGGAGTAAATGTTTGATTAATTTATTATTTCATTTTAGCATAATTTTTCTCTCAAGGCAATGGAAGTTTGTAGCTTGGCTGAGGAGTTTCTGGACTTTTGCAAAAATATTTGTTTCCACTCTGCTTTGCAGCAGCTCTCTTTTCTTCAAAAGTGTTGCCAATTTTGTTTTGCTTTTCCCACTGATAGCTCCTTTGATAATTGTTTTTATTGTTTTTGTTGCTAAGCTGCAAAAACTTTTAATTTATTTTTAAATTATTTTTTATCTAGTTCGTAGCCTATCAGTGTGCCTTGTCACTTTAGCAACTTATAATACCACTAGGCGGCACCAAAAGATTTCAGAAAATCAGGATACAGTATAAAGTTATGCTGTAGCCTGATTTTCTGAAACCCTTTGGTGCCATCTAGTTAAAGTTAAAAGCCATAGGATGAGTATACAGGAAATCCTCAATTTATGATCACAGCTGAGCCCCAAAACTCCATTTCTAAGACAGTTGTTAAGTAATTTTGCACCATTTTATGACCTTTCGTATCACTGTCAGTGTTCCAAGTAATGCACCATAGAAAGCAGAACTTTGAGGTAGGCAAATTCCTCAAAAAACAATTTGTTGGATACATCATACTGGCACAATTGGTGAAAGCTGACTCTGAAAGTTCCCATGGTTTTCACCTAATTAAAAAAATAAAAGTTTCCATCTTTTCCCCAAGTCACTGGTCACGCTGTCCAATTCAGGTGCTGGCCGGTTGCTTGGTTACTTCACTCCTCTTCTGGCCAGCCACCTGTGACAATAACTTTGGTTCCCACAGGAAAACTTTATTATTTTTGGCTACAAACCCCATCTAACTATTCCCCCCTCCCTCTGTTGTGGTGTAACCCTGAAGCCTCCAAGATGGCTTCAGCCAGGTTTACTTCAGGGTTGACAGTCACAGTTGTTAAGTGAATCACTGCAGTTGTTAGCCTAATAAATGGT